ATTTTCATGAGACGAATGAAGGAAAGTCTTCATGCAAATGTTCGTATTTCTTTCTATGACTGTTATTTACGATGATATGTTTTCGACTTATTTCCTACCTGCGTGCAGTCGAATTTCTAGTAATATTTCAAAATCGAACATAACCAACTATTAACCGTCATTTCCGTTTATATTAAACTCACAAGAAGTCTGGATAAGACTAGAAAAAGCTGGAAAAGGGTTCGTCTCCATGAACCATTGTACTGAATTTTCGACGCATTTACTGTAAAATCAAATAATGAGATTCATACCTGAAAGGAAAATTCTTTTCACTTGAACCTTGCAGAATATTCTAAGGGTTATTCGGCTTATCTTTGGACGGAATTTCGATTAGTTGACTTTTCAGTAAATACCCAGGAATAAGTCGAAAATTCAATATAACGACCTATGGTGACAAACCCTTTGTGGCTTTTTCTAGTATTACAGACATCTCCTTGTAAACCCAATATCAGTTCAACCGATGAGTGGCTACGTTGTTAGACATGTATTTGGATAACTCATTCAATAGCATGCTGATGACGTTATAACATATGCCTGCTCTTGTAGTTAGCATATAGGGGCATGGAGAACTCCGCACCAGACCTGCATTTTGTTCAGGGCTATAGCTAGTATTAGTTGTAGGGAAAATATTGGGCTATTGAACCTGCAGTTAAGCGAGAATTCATATAACAACGTTGCTAAAAAACAAGGATATTGTTCGTCCTTTAATATTTCTTCCTTGCAGTATGACTAATGAGCATACAGTTCTGAAATATTGAGCTGATATTTGGGATGCATGTGTACTACAATAAAGCCTGATTTCAATCACCAACCCGACCTCTATCGATTCACATGCACTGAAGTTATGATTCAGATATCATCTTATCTTAACTATGTGTCACGAATATTTTTGTCTAATTCTTCATTTGAATGGCCAATTTCGTTAGAAATAACTAAGATGCTGTCTTCTCATCAATAATATCTGCAGAATAGCAAATGCTGCTTTATTAGTAAAACGAATCTTTTCCCATGATAATTTGGACCACATCATTAGAAAATATGAGTAGAAAGTTCCGATGGAACGACAATTATGTTCTAAAAGTTTAACAGCTGCAGCGTTGAATGAAATCGAGTTACTACTACGATATAAATTCACTATTTTAAGATGTGCTAATGACTAAGATTTATTCTCGCACGCATATATCCACAATATCAGCTCGATATCAAAAAGAATAGTAGCAATTCAGGAAGGACGGGGCAAACTTTGTTCAGGATTATATGTAGATGAGAATTCGTAGTATAGATTCATGTAGAATTTTATTTCGTGATTTAACATTTTCTTATTTAAACTTTTCTACCTACTTTTTTCTATTTGCTTCGTCATTATTATAACAAAGTTGTGTAAAACGACTAACAAAAAATTGATAATTTCTTTGATAATTTGGTGCTTCTTCACGAATTTCACAAAATGATTCAAACTTTAAAGGAAAGAAGAAAAAAAAACATTTTGTTTTTCATTTTACACAAATTATCATACCGAAGCAACAACATGTTCGATTAGTTCTAAATCATTTCCTTCGTTAAGTACAAGACGTAATGTTTCTAAATAATCATCAACAAATGTATTCAATTGTTGATAACATGACTTCATTGTATCATCCATTGCTTTAATACCAAGTATAACATATCTAGATATATAATCATATTATTTTTCTATGCTTTATTAAAGAAAAAAAATACAACATACGGTCTATTTCGATGATCTAAATAACGTGCTATTCTTTGAGACATATATCGAACTGATTTATCAAGTTTTTCTGGTTTAACAAGTGCATAAAAACGTAATCGTTCAAGATTATTTTTATCAAGACCATGCTATATGAATTTGTTTAAAAAAAGAAAAGAAACGATCAAGAAGAATAATGAGACATTATAAAATGTGTGTTTTATTTACTTCTGGATTTTGTGGAAATATATTATTGACTAATCGTTTGTATCGTGGTACTAGATAATGTCCACAACAAAAACAATTGTTAATATATTCGGACATTTACAATATTCAATATGAAATGAAAAAGAGAATGATAAAAAATGAGTATGTTATCTTTCGTGTCGAATATCTTACATAGGTGAGTCAATGAACCCATCGTAAAGTTTATACAAGATGACGCTAATGTTTGACCATGTAAACGTTATCAGTAGAAAAATGAAATTTGTTAAAGGCATAGAATTACACATAGTAATTTGAAGTAAAACAATGCAGAATAGAGTTTGACATTTCTTTAAATTGAAACTAGGACATATGTTTCCTATGTTAGAAAAGATTTTCAACTGAAAATGCATATACTTCAAGTCTTTTTTTTGATTCATTTCAAAAATGAATGCTGGTGGCAATTTTTTGAACAATATTTCATGAGAATGACGAAGAGACCTGTGTTTTTTACCATTCAAGAGATAACATCCGGCGCTATGGAAATCTGATTGGTCAGTAATCGATCAATAAGGTAAGTTCTTGCCGAAGATTTTGATGTGTAAAATGGCTATCGTTTCCGTTCGAGAGTTACAGGACTTTCTTGAGATTAGAGATTTCAGCTAAATTGACCTTCCCAAGCTCTGAAAGAGCTCCAGATAGAGTGTTTTCCGTTGAATCGTGAACACTTCAACTCTCTTCCTCATTCCTATCAGAAGTTATTCATGATATTGACTTCATCAATGTAATTTCATATATCGATAAAGATTTCATTTGATTGGCGCGAGTAATTTCAACCTATGATGAACATTGAAATCTGGTGTTCTTGTGAGATTTCTTTTCAAAACTATTTTTTATACTCATACTATTCTTGGTGTTTATTTTAACGTTTAGTTAAACTTTTTCTCATTTATGCATTACAATATAGTGTAGTGTAGTGTCATAAATCTTACCTTTAAAACTTTGATTGATGAATACAGTTAGGTAATCTCAAAATACATAACACCTATATTATTAACTCTTGTTTCTGCCATGAATCCATTTGCTGGCGATAGTTCTGTATGTAATTTTGAATAAAGATCTCGTTGTAATTCAATATAATCATGTGACAAATTTATGCAAAAATCTTCTTTAAGTATCATGTATTTTGTTATTCACTGCTTTTTACTAATTCTACAGATCTTTTAAAAATTTTTGATGATAATGACAAGTTGTTTTTTTTCATTCTTTGTTCAATCTAGTTTTAGTTGTTTAAAGCTCGAACATTGTCCTCCTCGTACTCTTTTCTTGAATATGCTCCGTGCACTTTTAGTAAGCCATACGTATCAGTATATTTAGTTTCATCTTCTTTGAAAGGTAAAAGTTCGATCATGAAATAATTCATCAATAGGCCAGAATACAATGATTTCTATTACTTAATTTCTATGTAAAATTATTTTGACATTCTGAAGTCTATGTTTTTATTATAACAAGATAAGATATTATCGAATAATATGTCATTTGAAAGCCTGATATGAATACTCAAGAGTTTTCAATCGTCTTTACGCCAGCTTGTTAAGCACGATGAACTTATCACAGTTAGATGAAGAATTCTTCCCCATAGACTATCTTTGAATAGTTAAATCTATATCCAATTAAAAAAAAAGACTGCAAGTTTTTATTTCAGAACTTTTATACTGGATGTGCCCTAGTTGACTGTACACAAACAGCATAAATAGAACCACAAACTACGTCTATGCTTTGAATATTTCAATAGGATTAATACAGTGAATGCATGGAATTGAACTATTTTTTCGAAACTAATCAAGATTGTTTGGGTATATTATTTTGAAGACAGTATCTCGTTTTTAATAGCCTGAATTCTATTTAGCTGTTTTCTCGTCTGTTCATGTGACAAACTACCAAAGATAAAGCACATAACTGAAACATGATCAACGTATATTTATAATATATGCCTTCAATTAGATGACCTTTGAAAAAATACTTAAATTCCGAACATTCACAAGATTAATGTTATTGAAGTATTAAATGCAAAAACGTAGTCAGGATTTCCACTTATGTTGATTGTGTAGATGTGTACACTCAACTAAGTCGCATCCAGTGTTCAAGTTTTCATTGCAGAGAACTTAACTAACCTAAAAGTAAAAATTTCTGAAATCACAGTTTACAATCATTTTTTTGACGTTCAGATCGACTTAACTCCGTAAAGATAGTGTATGAGGTTGAACGCTTTATATTACTCGATAAACTGGTATAAAATTGATGGAAAATAGAGACTTACACATGATGACCTTCTCACAGTAAAAAATAAATTTCAATGACGGATCATTCTTGGAAATCATTGTTATTTCTTCACTGTTCTCGTTGCAATGGAATTTATAAATAGCTTTTATCTAAGACATTCCATAAACCCCAAAGTAAAATATATTCACCTGGTGCACTAGTAATGATCCTCGTAGATTCGATTGCAGTTACGCAGATTTACCGTAAATTCAACGTATTCATCAGTATCGATAAACTCATTTACACAACTACAAAGGTAACGTAGATAAGAGATCGAACGTTGCGTAGCCTAGCTGGTCTAATAGCAATGAATGTTGAGTCATGTCACTGCACAGTGAAATAACAATTTCCCAGCCAATGAGACGTCTTCGTCTCTTCATACTACAAGCCTTTGAACTAAACGATAGAAAGCACTCTGCAGAAGAGAAAAAGTACAGCATGTTCAAAGTTTGCCAAATGATAATAGATGCTTATGTACCATGAGAATGTGATGGAAATCAAATTTCAAAGGTTATCAAACATTTATTTTTCTTTTCATCAGGACGAATTTCATCTTTAGCATTAATACAGCATTCTAGCTATTGTGAAAGAGAGCTCAATTACAATGCAAATAGTATAAAGATAAGAGCAGAAAATAACTGTTTTAATCAACTGTCAGCTATTTTTAACGATTAGGAAGAATTTCTGAGTATGTCATTGATTTTGTTGACATATAATATAATGAAAACAATTATGTTTTTTTATCTAAATAGGCTGCTTGATCTGGAATCGTAAATAATAGATGACATTGATACTTGAAGAAGAATTTGATCGTTGACCAAGTTGACTTGAAATTTATGTATCGTTGATCATTGACTGCTTCTTTTTCTTGCCTATTCTGTGATGATGATGATGTCTTGAATTCAGGTACTTCTTCATCATCAGTTACCGGTCCATAAACATTTTTTACAACCATAATCATGAATGCAATAAAAAATCGTTGTACAAAATTGATTCGATTAATAAATGTTTTGACACGAGTAATTAAACTTTTTTCGTTTTTTTTCATTTGTACCTGACGTTTATTCAGTACTTTGTCGAAAGCATTATCAATATTTGGATACTTTGGGTCGTAGTTTCGTCGAATCCGGTCACAATATTCGAATATACAACGAAAGCGATGATCGTCATAGAAATAAGGCATACAGTGAAGTGGTTTAATGAGTGAACAAAACGTTAGATCAGCTGCCGAAAATCGTTCACCAACAAGATAATCATTTGTACGTAAATGATTTCCAATGTCTAGAAGAATTTGTTCTGTTTTTTCTCTTATTCGTTCTTCACGGATGCGATGAAGTCGAAATCGAGCAATCGTAAAACAAGCAATGAACGAACTAATTAAATGCGAACGAATATCATCGGGATTATAAGCCCATGAAAATTTTTGACCAGCCATGATTGACATAGCACTTGACTTATCTTTCAGTATTTGAACAAATCCAAGGCGACGCACGTAAAGGCCTAATTCTGAATCAAAACGTAAACATGTATCAATTACTTGTTGACGTAGTTCAGATGATGAAGATGGAAAAAGAGATACAGACGATCGAGGATAGTGAGCATCCAAATAGATCAAAATTGGTGTTGAATCACATTGAAATGGATTACCATCTTTATTGTTTGGATCTTCAAGAATCGGGAACAATTTACGCATTGTCTTTGGTGCTCGTTCTAAACCTTTCGTTTCACCGAATATATTGAAATCGATGGTATTGTAGGGAAGCTCTTTCAAATCCAATGCCCAACGAACCTTTCCACAGTAATGAGACCCTTCTATTTGATAGAAACTAAGATGTTGTATCATCTTACAAAATACTTTTTCTACAAAAAAAAAGCATAAGAGAAAACTTCAATAGATAGGGAAAGATAAATCTGTTCCGCGTGTTTTCATTGTCAAAGTATCTGTTAATACTTTCTTCTAAATAAAAAAATATGATAGCAAAGAACTGATGAATAAAAATCTTGTTATGAAAAATATATTCATGTGCAAAACAACCATATACAAAAATAACATATACACAGTGATTATATCAATTAATTTTTACTATCATATATTACATTAAAAAGAAAAGGTAAAGATAAAATGGAAGTAATTATTATTGCTGTTTTTCGTGTATATTAGAACATTCGTCGCAAGACTATGTAGTGAATTTGATTAAAATTCCTAATTTAATATTACAACAAATAAGCAAAATGCTTTGTCAGCTTTGCAAAGTACTATCATGGTACTTTGTATTTTCCAGCAAAATTCAAAACGTAGTACTTCTTGAAAAGTATAGATACCTTGTATAATTTGCTTTTGCTTGAGGTACTTAGCATTACGAGCATGGAGAATATATGCTCCATTTATCTTAGTATTACATCTAGTGGTGACCTGAAGCAGCCAACAGTGGAGAGCAAGACGTCGCAATTTTTTTGCAAAGGGAGAATATCTTTCTTCTAACAGAATCTAGAAAGAAATTCAACTCTGCTGAAAAAAAAATTAAATTTTGTCATGATTGGAGGCTGTGGCACCCCAGTCCGAAAAGGCCAACAAACACTGATTGATATCATCTGTGACTGTTTCGTTTCTTTCTCTGCATATCTAGTCGCTGTTAACTGACAGATGATAGTGAAGAATTTTTCAGTAGAGACGAACAAACGTACGCAATGAAACATTTTCTATACCAATGTATAGGTACAAAAATAATATTGTTACTATAATAAATAAATACAATGCCATTTAATAAACGAACAGTGGAACTGATGAATCTGAGTCACGTCAAAGTAAAAACTGATATATTTTTTTGTATTTGCGAATAGAAGACTGGCGACCCCTGTGGGATTCTATCAGTACCCAATCCAAAAAAAAGTAAAAGAGGAAAAACAATAAATCAATAAAGAGATACAAGATACACGATGATGAATAACGATATAGATTAACAATTTACAACGTAAAGAGTACTGAGAAATATATAACGAAAACCAAGAAGAAAAAAAAAGAAGATGTTCTTCTAACTTAGTTACATGAATAGACTAATGACAGAAAAACACAAAGTTAAAGTTTCACATACGAATAGACAAGAAACAGAAAAAAAATTGGTGAATGAAGAGAAGAAAGCCAAGGGGACACAAAACCTCAGAATGTTTCAAGGAATTCCTTTAACGTCACTGGATCAGACACGTTAAAGTTCAAGTACAGAATGTTGCGCTGAATTCCCAGCACACCACTCCACCGCTTTTTTCAGAACCTAGGTGTATTCAACAAATCTTTTTGACATTCTTAAACATTAAATAAGATTCTCTTTTAGCACCCAGGCCCTTCTAAACTCATTCATATTCATTTGTTTTATTAAGAGCATTCCATCTTTAGAGTCAGATAGAGCTGCTAAATACTTTTCCCAATATCTCAAACATCTATCTTCAAGTGGAATCTCTTCAAACAGATAAGCAAAACAGTAAAAAATGATATTCCCAATGAACTTGAGTGTGTCCCTAATCATATGTTAACAAATATAATTCGACAATGAAGTTCATTAAATTGCTGTAGGATGTGAGTCATAAACGGAACTGGTCTGATTAACTCAGATCGGACATGACTCGTTGGTGTATCCGTTCAACCGATAAACGCTGGTCTAAAATTCATATCAAGCCAATGTAGACTAGTCGATCACCGGTATTGGGTCCATATATAGTATGCACGTGGGTTACGAAAAGATCCATAACCACACTTATGTTTTTTAAACTGTACTTGTCTTCAACTTGAACTATTTACTTCGAGTTCAATTATAATTTTCTCTAGACGAAGCTGTAATTCTAATTAAATATAAATCTATTTGATGAAAAAAAAACTCATTAAATCAAACAAATAAATCATGTTGATTTACTCAAGAAAATTATTTGATTAGATTTGAAACTGTTTAAATCGAAAATCAAAGAAAATATTCGATCGAGTTTGAATTAATTAATAAAAATAATAATGAGAAAAGAATGAAATCTGATGCAAACATTTTTCAAGGTGAAATCGAAGACGTCTTTTTTTGGAGACTTACAAAGAAACATTTCCAAGTGTCTATTCACTTTTGATTCAAGACTTGGTACATTTTATAGATCCTAATCAACTATGTCTATTAGAAAAAAAAACAGTTCGTGTTGATAGTCTGTTTCTCATGAAATATCAAACGCTTTTAGTGAGTTTTTGTGGCAGCATCTCACTGTTGCAATGAGACCATATCATCGAATTTCTATCTCAAATTGTGCCCAGCTAAAGATTTCAACTAGATAAGCTTGCATAAAAAATATCAGAATTTCTGCATTTTTTTCATGTAAGCTTGTCTTGTTGAAATCTTTACCTAAGCAAAGTTTTAGATCAAAATTCAAAAATATGGTGGGGTGTGGGTGTTGGTGGTGGTGTGAATCTTTTCTTCATCATTCAGACCCAGACCCATACCCTCCATTAAGCAAATGATATGTCTAAGAATATATTGGCAGCTAACATCTAACCTGATCATGCTCATCTCTTGTTTTCAAAAAAAGATCGTGGCACATGATTCTTTTCACACCAAAGTCATTGATTAAAACTCTTTTTATTTGAAAAGGGCATACAAGTTTTTAATCATATGAAAGGATTTACATCGTGTGTTACAAATGTTAAAGTAATGAAGTTAATCTGTGGAGTTTTCTTTTGCAACATAATCAATATCATAAAACAAAAATGATGCAAAAGTGATGCAATATCTTTCGTTTTTCAGGATTATCGAAACCATGTAATGGAAATGGCTTGAAAGTAATCAAATAAATATGATGCTGTTAATTATTCGAAATAATCAAAGTCTTGAAATGAATATAATTGCAAAATAGCGAATCTAATACTGAGATTTTGGTTATGCGAAGTAATCACCATAATGAAATGACAATGGTACAGAAGAAGCGACATCAATGTAATAATTGAATTTCCAAAAATAACTATTGTCATGTAATGAAAAGGACGGCAAACTCATGAATCTAATGCAATTATTCTAATTTTGTGTGAAAAGACTAAATTCATGGGATTAGAATGACGACAACATAATGAAACTAATGGAATAATTTTCACCTGCCTGAAATAACGAAAGCAATGAAGTTTTCTGTATGAGAATTTCAAATAATGTCATTGAAATGAAATTTTATAGTTTTTAAATGAGTCCAAATGTAATGCTCTAATTTGAATTTTATTTAAACTGTTTTTTAAATAGAAGTATGAAAAAATCGACGTGGAATAAATTATTTGCTAATTTTTGCGAGACTCTTTAGTAACCAATTGGGGAATGTTGGAAATTAGGTGGAAAAATAGGATCCAACGTCACCGAAATATTTGCAATAAGTACAAGAAAGGATTGTACCTGAATAACAAGGATAATAGCTTGCATAGCACATGCCTGCTTGACCGTAGAAGCTATTGGTATTCCCGCTTGGAACCACATTCGACTTACCGAATTGACATAGACTGAGCAGGACCATGAATGTTAGTAATAGTATATGTTTCATCATCCATTCAAGACAAAAAATTCAATCACTCTGTTCTTTTAGAGAAAAACACGAGTCTGTTGTATTTAAAGCACATTGAATGTTCATTTACAGATGGTCGTTTCCAAAGAATAATCTTATCTCACAGCATGATGTTTTTTGTATGATGCACCAAATATTCGCGGAAAGCATAGATTACATCACATGATCATCCTCTTCAGAGAAATTTTCGACTTTGGAACATTAAATCATGCGGATGTGGGAATTCTTCTTTTCTCCAATCACTTACACACCCACACCCTAATCACCTCGAGTAAAACTTTGGGCAAAATGCGTTCGATCACGCCAAAATCTTTTTCATCCAAGCAAATTATCAATATTGAAATCGAATCTTGTGCCTTACAAATTCTCAGATGATGATTTACAAACAGATACTTTTTTTCACGAAAAATATCTAGGTTTTTCTTGACAATGGTTTAGTGGAAAATAAGATATAAATGACTGGAGTGAGAACAGACTTTCGATTTTCTCATTCCTACTGACTCACGTTCATCACTAAACAGCCTGTAGAAGAAATAGCTAGACAAACGACTCTTTCACTTTGCCAAAATTCAGAGCTTCAAAAGAAGTAGTCTGACAAAGACAGAAAGTTTTGTAGAAATTTTTAATGGCTCTATCATGCCCTCAAAATCATTTAATTTTAAGGTCCTTTATAAAGATAAGGAACCGAAAAAGCTCTGCCTGAAAATACTTAATCATGAAAAGTTTTGCCTAATCTTGTCGAACCATGCGAAATTGTCAGCCGAAGGGCATTGAAACATGAAAAATTCTCTCTTCTGATAACCATATCACAAGGGTCTCTATTCACTGATACTAAAACTTGGAAGTGTGGATCTTGTTTTACCTCGTCCGCAGCCATATCGACCGGGTGGGTGTGGGTTTATTATGAAGATATTGCCCTTAAAAATTAGTGCTGCTGAGCGCGTCTGGCAATTAAACAGGCCCTTAATGCTCTGTAAAGGCTGTGGAATGTGGATGTGGATGCGGATTTATTTTCTCTGAATCCATACCCATACAATCACACCAACACTTGGAGCCGAGGTTTCTTAAGAAAGTAACGTTGAATTTTTGAACATATATTAAAGTGATCCATCTATATAAACTCAGATTTAATACAATGAATTTTTTCTTGTGTTTAATCAAGCCGGTCCTTTATTATTCAATCTTTTAGCTATTCATACATCTTCACTACACACAAGAGAGAAAAATTAAACAATCTACAGGACGAAGTACAGAAAAATCAAAGGCAGAAAATAAAGCGAGGGTGCGTTATAGTAGGTATTCTTGTTTTGTTTCAAACTAGACTATATAAAAATGAAGACAGCGTCAGGCATCGTTTTAAATGCACTCAAATTAAGAACAAGAGTAAACGTTGGGAATCTGTCGAAATTCTCAGGGACAAAAAGGCAAGAAGAAAAATGGAAGGGGGAAAAGAAAACGAAAAATAGTGGCCTACACGTACGAGAGTGAGGATAGTGCATATTAGAATATAAACTCGTACATGCAAACATTACGAAGAGGAGGTATAGTATAAAAAATGATGCTGATTATTGTAAGACGGCTCTATACCAATACATCGTCTCTTTTGTATCATCTTTAGAACAGGTATAGACACGTTAACTCACTTTTCTATCATTGACCCAATAACCCAATTGTATTTTGCCATTGGCAAAATAATATGTGCCTCGCCCGTGCATCATGTCATCCTTGAATTGACCCTCGTATTTATCACCATTTTCATAAATATAGACACCTTGACCCGTTCTCTTATCATTGACCCAATCACCTGTGTATTTGTCGCCACTAGCAAAATAATATGTGCCACGCCCGTGCATCCTGTTATCCTTGAATTGACCCTCGTATTTATCACCAGTGGCATAAGTAAAGACACCTTGACCCGTTCTCTTATCATTGACCAAATCACCTGTGTATGTGTTACCATTAGCAAAATAATATGTGCCTCGTCCATGCATCCGATCATCTCTTAATTGCCCGTCGTATTTATCACCGGTCCACTTCGTTTTGGAACCCCACACATAGATACCTTGACCCGTTCTCTTATCATTGACCCAGTCACCGGTGTATTTGTCTCCGTTAGCGAAATAACATGTACCTCGTCCGTGTTTCTTTCCATTTTTTAATGGTACCTCGCATCTAACAGCGTTTGGCCATGTATAGGTGTTGTAGCTTACTTCGCTGTTTTGGTAGTTTACTTTGTTGTTATGGTAGTTTAGTTCACTGTTGTCGTGAACGTCATTTGTTTCTTCTAGAAATAAAAACAGACTCGGTAAGTACATACAAAAGAGCTAGATAGAAATATTGACATGGGAACCCTTTTCATTTCTGTACAAATTGAAATCGGTCAATCTTTCAATTTGTGTAATTTAGTGTGACGTTGTTTCGCCTTTATGGAGGATGTGGATGTGGGTATAAGTTCGACTAAATCAAAGAAACAAAAACTCACACTCCAGACAGCTGGTTCAGAATATTTCGTATTTAAATTTTTTCCTGTACGGCAAGTTAAGAAAATCTAGCGGGGTTGAAAAATAAACAAATGTAACTTTAGAAACAACAAGAAAGCGTATAAAAACGTTCAATATTGAAAAGCGAATTACTAATAACTCTTCTTTGCCTGTATGTTCTTTTTCTTTTTCTTCTTTTGTTACTGTAGTCTATACTCATACATACATGCTTATTTTCTTCATAATCAATAGTTTTGCTAACACACACTTTCATGTCTTATTTGTTTAATATAATTTCATAGTTTTCAAAAGAAGACGACAAATTTTAACATGTTTACTTGGAAAATTCGATTCAGCTTATTCAAGTTACATGAAAACAATTTTCGGGATCGCATTGACTTTATACTCGTATCTACAAAAGGTCTATATTTCCGTTCTATCACGTAGTTACTCGACAGTTGCTGAGAGCATAGAATGTGCTTGAAAGAGATATAGGTTTACCTTTTTTAGATGCCAGTTTCGAAAAGGTCTAAGCATGGGTGAGATCCAAAGCAAAATTAAAAGCCAGAGAACTACTACTTGAGACACAAGATGTTGAAAATAGGTTCATAGAATGAAAAAAACCTTTTGAATAGATCGACAAAAGTCTGTGTGAAGATATTCGTTTTCTAAGAGTTGTTTTTTAATCAAAACTAATAAAACATTCGCACAATCATAATATCCTATCATCGTCCTTAAAAGCTAGAACTACCCACAATCCAAATTTCTCACGTCAGTCTGTTCCCATAGTTTAAAGTACAGTTTCAAAGTTGCTGACGCTCTTGGATGCGCTCGAATGGGGCAACATACACTCATAAAAACATGATTAACATTCTCGTCAACGTAGTATACCTTCAGAAGAGTCATGTTGATTGATAGCTTTGAATTGTTCGTTAACCGTCGCAATAGTCACTCCAGTCAGTACCCGTCGCACAGTGACTGTAGCAGTTGGAAGAACTAAAACAAAGAAGAATAAGAAGAAAACATTGTGACTGATATCAACGAAGATGAAACGAGGTTTTTGTCTTTGAGAAACAGCTGATTATGATTTTCGAGAATTTGATTCTCTAAGGATGTGAGTGTGAGTGTCGATCTACTCTTGAACAGGAGCAATACTCGTTTCTCGCAGTCTTGTATTGTTCTCGACAATCATACGCATATACTACACTTGATATCCATTGATGGCAACCGTATTCACACTTGCACACATCGAGAAACGAAGCATTTGGTCAAAGCCATCAAGAACTGCTGAGAAGAAACGAAATAACTTTTTTGACTGACGTTTCTGAGATGAAACTATGCTAGTTCAATCACAGTTGTTTCTCTGCTAAGGAGTATCGTACCTGTTTGAAATGCATCGATGTCGGGATTCAGAGCGCGAGAATCGAGAAGAAAGAACTGCTCTCTACATTGATTCATTTCTTCAAGATGTCATAAAAATGGCTGCCGACGTGCAAAGGACCTTTTATTCATCCATTCCGATACGAAATGATCTACATGAGGCCCGTGCGATTTCTAAAATGTAATCATACCAGAATGATCGTCATTCTCAAATTAAACAAGCATTAAAAAGTTGCTTTTCAAGATGATTGGTTGATATAAACATTCTGGCAGATTATTGAAAATATGAGAAAGAATCCTCGCTTGAAATTTAAAATGTTCAACAGTGTATACAGATATGTTTGACTCACTGGCTGCTCAACAATATAAAAGGTTTCATTAGAAATGTTACAAAGCGCATTATTCATAATGGCTACGCCAGGGTTCGAAGTACAACACTTGATATTCAGTACGCTATAAAGAAACTCCTTCTTGTAGCAGTGAATGAGCGATAGAGCCAATCGAATCAATGTTTTAACTGGTGCTTTTCGCAGTGTTGAATGCAAGGGGGAAAGTGCAGACTTGGAACCCCCAGCACCTCAGCACCATCTCGGCACCTCAGCACCATCTCGGCACCTCAGCACCATCTCAGCACCTCTTCAGCACCATCTCGGCACCTCATCACCTTTTCAATACCTCAGCACTGTTTCAGCATCTTTTGGTACCAAAAGCTAGTTCACTCATATGAAAATAATTGGCAAAGCTAGTTTTATNTATACCTAATGATATCTTTGTTCGAAGAAGAAACTAGTGTTATTAGAGAGTTTTCTTATAATATTATTTTCGTCAAGATTAATCATTATTGTTTAGTTTTTTTATCTAGTACTCGTCTATTGCAAATACAGAAATATAAATATTAACGAAACTGCAATGATAATAATATATTTCTGGCTTCAAAGAATCGAGCAGCAGATGCTACTGTCTTTATAAAAAAAAAACGGCTTTATGATGCATAAATAGAAATTATGTATAAACTTAGGCAAAACATTCTCAACATATAACACTTCATTTCTATGTGTAGAGTGCTATTAAAATATGTGTCTTATACATTAAAAGTTATAAAACTAGGTTTCAACAATGAACAGTTTCAATTATTATTTTGATTATATAATTCGATCTGAGCAAGTGTTACTAGTCTGTGCAACCTTTAAATTTATAACAAACATTTGTGTTTGTTTAGCTAGAATTTTTACATTCAATGCAATAAATAAATGTATTTTTTGTTGTCAATCAGATAAAGCATGTTCAACTGAAAGTTCTCTTAATTTTTTTCATAATAATACTTGTATTTTCATTTGTAAACAAGTGATCAAATTTCAACTAAGTAAATTTTAAAAAATTATTTGCCAAGATGTGTAATAACTTCTTATGAAAGTTTATGTTGTCAATGAGATTAATATAATATATTGTTCCTAGTAACCGTTTTCGAAACCCGTACTGATATCCACGAAGACAGTACTCGTACTCTTACAAAGTCTATACTTCTCGTGCTTTGTGTTGTATACAATCCCTTCGTTGTTCCTATCAAAAGTTATTCAAAAAACAAACATTGGAGTTTGTTTTTGAAATGAATCATAATTCTGCTTCTGAAGATAAGGCCTTTGCTCGTGATACATTTCAAGTTGGAAGGATTCATCAAAATAACTCACAGACGTTTACAGAAGAAAAGTTAATTTTCGCTTTCCTAATTCTGTTGATAGTATCTTCTTATAAGAATTTTTGTGAGTGATATTGACTTCATCAATTTACTTTCATGTATTGGTAAAGATTTACTCTGATAGGCATGGCTAATATCAACCTCGGATCAAACATTGAAATCTAATGTTCTTGTGATTTTTTTTCTTCAAAACTTTTTTTATATTGATACTAGTATTCGATACTATTTTAACTTTTAGTTAAACTTTTCTCATTTATACAATAATATATACAGAATTTTAACAATTTTTATATTTAAAACTAGGACATTGATTAACATCATACAAGCTAATTGTATGTTTATTTATTGATTGGTACAGTTACATCATTTCACCATGCATTCGCGATCATAGAAATAGGTTGGATTCTCGCCGGTGTCATATTATTTTGTTGTTGTACCTCATGTACAGTATCGACTCTTTTTGCCATTGCATTTTCATTTACTAGCGATGGTTTTGAATACAACGTAGCATAAAGGTCTCGTTGCAATTCAATATAATCATGTGTATATTCATTGAATTGATCATAATCAATTCCTTCTATTTCACCAGTTACCGTTGTACGCAATGATAAACCAGGAATATTATTCATAACCAATAAAATAATTAGAGTGATAATAAAACTCCAAGCAAAACCAGCCGCTAAAAAAATATTATACAGAAAATAAATGATATATTGTTTTTTTGTAAAACACAATCTAACAGGAGTGTGTAAGCACAGAAATATGCATTCAGATTTCCTCTTACAATAGTATCCTGCAACCGGATCGGGTACTCTAACCGTCTTGGAACATGGATCCGAGTGCAAACACACCTACTATAAAAGTATTTGCCGAATGTCTATTAACTTCAGTCTGGTACTGGGTTCGGTTGCGAAAAATCGTATTTATGCAGGACACTATATCACAAACGTTGTTCATGCACGATCATCGGTTGTATGTCAATAACATCGCGTTCTCACATAGGAACTATTTCTTTATTGCATTTCTTGAGGATTAAGTAAACGCAGAGTGAGGAAATGTGTCCCAAAATAGATAAAATAGAACAATCTTCCTATGGTTAGCAATAGCAACTCAGTTGTCTTTCACATTTTAATCTCACAAGGATTGCACTAACAGTTTTTTTTAATCAGAACTTACACGCAAATACTAATTGATAAATCACTTGCATCCAACAACCATCTAACCATCCACCCTGAATATGAACTAGATCTAGTTCTGGGATAGATTTTTCTGCAAATATGCCTGTTAATATACAACCAGTAAAACCTCCAATTCCATGTTGTGCAAAAATATCAAATGCGTCATCAATTTGAAAAATATTTTTAATCTTTCGTCCAAAATATACACATATGCTACCACCAATACCAAACATAATTGACGCAGGGATACTAACAAATCCTGAACCAGGTGTAATACACACAAGGCCAGACATTGAGCCCATACAAAATCCGACAAGAGAAAATTTATGTTTTGGACTTGAAAGAAAATAATCAAGTATAGACCAAGTTAAACCACCAGTACATGCTGCTAGATTGGTCACAATACAGACGATTACTGTACGAATGCTAACAACTAATCCACTACCTCCATTAAAACAAAACCAACCAAACCAAGTCAGAAGAGTACCAATAAATAGATTATTTACATTATGTGGTTTATTTTGTTGAGCATTTGTAATTGTTTGACGTTTGCCAAGTACAAGACTATAGACAAGAGCTGACGTACCAGCTGATATATGAATTGGTACGCCGCCAGCATGATCTAATGAGCCAAGTGCATGAGCCCAACCATTAGGTGACCAAATCCAATAGGATATAAAGTTATAGACAAGTGTACACCAAATGAACGTAAAAATGATTGTTGGCCACATACGACCACGTTCAGAGACTGCACCAATTACAACTAAAAAAAAGAGCATGTGTCTTCAATGTATAAACATTAAATTATTGTTTCTCTCATACTTGTTGTTGCAGTTGTAGCACACATAAGTTGAAATAAACAAAAAGCAATAGCTGGTATTGCTGTTGTACCAATAGTTGGTTCGTTCAGAATATTTTTCATAGCAATATGAGCAAAATTACCAATAAATAGCGATCCTGATCGACTGAAGCTTAATGAATAACCAAATAGAAACCACTAAAACGATGTTAAATTAATGTAATGAAGGTATATTTTATCATATACGTTTCAAAAATTTCATATTATAAACTAATGAGAGAAGTCTTCTAATTGATAAACCGTAGTTTGCCGTAAAAGTGCAGTATCTACACAACAATAAGTTACGGGCACGACCTATTTTCGGAAAATTCAAAACTCATTTGAATCTATATGATACGAGTAGATCAAAGCGGTTTGTACTTGCGTACTCGATTGCTCAAAAGTATTTTATTATATTCTGAGCTTGAGACATGAAGAGAAATTATAAAACTATATACAAACCTGAATTGAAGTAACAGCAACAGACATTAGACTTAGCCATAAGAGAGAAACGGCATTCTTACGTTTCGTCATGCCAGAATAATACAGACCGGTACCAGGTACCATAATCCAAACAAATATTGTTGAAATCAATACCCATACTAAATTGGTAGAATCAACTATAAAAATACAAAGAAAAAACACCGTAAAATGACGTAAATATATTCAGATTGATCTTTAAGTACACTCTTGAACAAAAGTCTATCTTGTCTCAAATCTCCGTCACCATCAGGAATAAAGATCCGATATTTGTATGTCTATACTCCACCATTAATGCAGATCAATGGAACTGCCCACATCCTGCTGGCTTGAATAGATACTGAGTTATGATAAATGGTGTTCATTTTTGCATTAAGCTTCAATAACTCTGGAGGGGAAGGACAGTGTTTGTCGACTAACTTATCATTATGAAGATTTTTATTTTAGCTATATGTCATACAAATTTTGCGGAAGTTCCTCAATCTGTTCAAGAATTGTGGTCTTTTTGACTCTAATCATCAGTATGCAAAAAGCCATCGATTGCCTTAGTTTATAAATTGTTCTAAGACTTTTAGAGAAAATTTCTTCACACCTTGACATTAATTTCAAAAAGCTTCACAATAAAATGTCACACTAGAAAGATATGACATACAGATAATCGTCTTGCTACTGTCAAGGATTTCAAGACACTAATATTCGCGCAATTGAACTTATCTTTTGGATAGAAAAGGACTATATATTGAGTTCACGTTTCGTGTGAAAATATTCAAAATTCTTATCAGGTATTTTATAAGAAACCCGACAAGTTTTAGTTAGTAACTTTTGAAGGTCATGAAACTTACAGCAAATATTGAATTCCACTCAAGTAGACATGATTTGAATGATGTTGCTGGTCTACATGTCTAATAGATTATGCGTACAGAAATGTTCAAACCTCTATCCATTATGTTTGCCGAGATCCAATGGAAAAGAATAGCTTTTGTCCAAAACTGTACAACACCTAGTTGTCTGTCAGCTTTGTTAGAATTTAATTGAAAAAGGAACTTGGAACTTTATATTCATATCAAAGATTATTATCTTCTTAAATTGTCTGAAACTCAGATTCAGATATGAAACAAATTAACAATGCTTTCAGTTTAATTTCAAACATTAAACTGTTGTCCATTCAAATGTAAGCAAAACAATACGTGGGTGTGAATAAAATCATAAATAATTTTGATTCGATAAATTAAGAACTCTCTTCGTGACAACAAGTTCTAATGATAAAAATCATTGATTATTATGAACGAATTTCTTTCTAATAATTATTAATCATACTTTTTTTTAAGTAAAGGTTAAAATTTGTTCAGATCAAAAATAGAAAACTTACCTGTCATTATGATTCTATTTCCAATAAAACAAGAACCAAAATGACTTTAAAAAATAATAGTCAATCCTTCGATGTTGTAGAGAAAGAAAAACTAAAGAACGATTTCACCCTTTTTTCATAAATGATATTAAAAAAAAAGATTTCACTTTAATAAAAAGAAAAAAGTCCAAAAAAAAAAACATCTTCTTTGTGTCAAAAAGATTTTTGAAAGCATCTCATCATGCATGATGAAATGAAATTCATTGTACGATAATTACTTATCTATAATCAGCTTAGATTTAGAATTTTATGATTATTTTCTATTTACATTTATATGTTATGACGTCATTCATCATAAGTCTAGTTTCTTATTTTATTATATTCAATAGAAAATTGAATAGCTGAATTAACAACTACAAATAGAGAAGAAATTAGTGAATTGAACTAGTTGATAATTGAAAAACATGTTATTTCCAATTTAATGGAAAGTTCATTTAGTATCAATGAGTTTATTACTTTATGAAGGTATTAAAAGATTTCGAATTAATATTAAAAAACAAGAAACTCATTGTTACATTTCAAATATTCTTTACAATCTAGAACTATCTTTCTGGTAATTTAGTTCATTTTAATTTTCTGAAATAAGAACCATTCTGACATATGCCAAAATCGTTGTGCAAGTGAGTTTATCAATGAAAATAATGTTCAAGTAAAAAAGTACAAACGTTTTTTTTTTATGTTAATACTGACACATATGCTTTTTGAATTAGTCGTGATTACTGAATGAACTTTTTCTTTTTCTAGTAATCAAACAATAAAATACTGAGTATTTGTGATTTGTTGTTCACACTATCCTCTCTGACGAAGGATTTTATCCAATTGATAAATCGCTTTTCAGTCGAGACTATGTACCAACTGTGAATAGAAACTGGTCTCACCGGGAATAGTTTATTGTGAAACTTTCAGATCTTTTGATTCGGCTCTGTTCTAAAATAAGAACATCAAATTTGTTGCGGATATGAACGATGGAAAAGACACATTTTTATCTCAGCACTATTTTAAGATAGGAGCAACGAAAGATTTCAAACGCTCACAATAAACTACTCTTATTAAGGTTTATCTCTATGGAAAGTTTAAAGTTGAAATTCGAAAATCAATTTCCCCCATGCTCATGAAGAGGACCACGATATATACTTGAAAAATATATTTGCAGCAGTAACCTAAGGATCCGAACTTTTTCAGAGTATTTATAGCTCATTAGAATCCACATAGTCTCGACTCAAAAGCGATTAGTGAATCGGAAGACTTCTCTCGTAAGTAGAACTCAATTGTTTGTATGGAAGGAGAAGAAGGGAAGCTGAGCCCCCGCTAGTCTCCATCTGGTTACATTACGGACGCGCCAGTATCTAGAGTCTGATGTCAAATATGACCTTTTTTTCCTTATTAGCAATGTACTTACTGTGGATTGTTTATATCATCCATGATTAGTTTCTTTCTGGTTCTGAAGCTATAGTCAAAATTCATGAGATACCAAAAAAGATTTTGGAATTGATCGAAAATTCGTGTCTTTTTTAGTGTTTTCCAATCTATTCAAACTGATTTAGGAGATCTGTGTTTCGTATTAGAACAAAACTTAAGAATAGTTTCGGAAAAAGCATTCAAAAATGATTATAACTGACATGAAGAATTGCTAGGAGTTCAATAATTCTCAATGCTGAGCATGTGTTTTCCTATTTAAGAATAAACCAATTCCTTAACTTTCTAATCGAAGTTTAGAATATTTCCAGTATTGAGAATTACGGAACACGTAGCAGTTCTTCATGTCTCTTTTGAACGCTCTTTCTGAAGCTATTCTTGGGTTTTATTCTAATGCGAAACACAGGTTTCAAAAACCAATTGAAAGTGGCTAAAAAACAACTAAAGGATACGAATTTTCGACCAATTTCGAAGTTTTTGTTTTATATTTCATAAATTTCGATTAAAGCTTCAGCTAGAAAAAAATTTATCATGGTTTAAATAAGCAATCCAGAGAAGCTACATTCTTAACAAAGAAAAAAAATGTACTCGTGAACATCATTTTCTAGGCACTGGTGTATTCCCTGGTTAGGCTAATAATTGTGACACTTTTTTCCATGACACATCTTCTTCTATGCTCATCAAAGAATATCTCTATTGTTGTAGTTTCTTTTGCTCTATCATTCGTATATTTCTATAGTTGTTAATGTGTGCCTATAATTATCTATTTGAATAGGAATATACTAATAGGCTCTGTGTTTGAATGCGTCAAATTTCAAAGCTTTTAACAGAATGTATTAAAAAAAAGGAAACATTTTAATGCTACATTGAACATACATGGACATAATCATATTGTTCTTTATTTATTTATTTATTTTAATGATGTTCAAATATGCTGCATTGAGATTATAAGAAATAAGAGGTTAAAAAAGCTAAAATCTAAAAAGGACGAGATTCATTGTTTTTTTTTGCATTGTAAACAAAAACAAATATAAATTTCCAAAAAAGAAATAATCATTAATCCCGTTTTTTTCCATCAAATCCTTTCATTTGTCCATCAGTACTACTGTTATCTTTTTTCGCACTCATTAATGCTGTTGTATTACTTAATGGTGAAAGACTAGTTGATGATGTTACTGCTGGTGTGGATAAATTAGCTGTAAGAGTTGCACGTCTATATGCATCAGACTAAACAGAAAACATAGAAAATATTTTTTTTGCTTTTTCTAATAAATAAAATATTTACAATTATTTCTATCCAACTATTAAACAACAATCCCGATGAAAGATTTTCAAATGGCATAAATGGATCATATTGTTTAAAAAATAATGTTATTATTCGCACATATATAAATATTGAGGCAACACATAAATAGATTAATTCATGTTCAAATTGTAATAATCCCATACGATGTAATAAGAATATAAATGAAGATAGAAAACATGCTTTTGTTGCACTAGAATAATAAAATTCATTAGATATACATGATTAAAAGAAATTGACAATAGAAAAATGTATCTCATTTGTTTTTTCGAAGTTAAAAGTGACATGTGGAATTGAAATCAATACATAAACAAAATGAATGAATTTTACCCTTTATCAACATTAAACTAAAATTTCGAGATTAATTAATTCTGAGGTGTTTTACTGTCAGTAGGCCGTTCGGTATAGTATGCACTATACTGGCGGTAGTATGATACTTTAACGGTCAGCTATTCACTGGTCGTTATTCTACTGCGGTATGTCGTCGGTAGTGCTAACAAACGTACGACGTGTTCTATAGAATTCAGGTACGTTTGAAAATGGTCAAGAATGAGTAATAATAAAACAACCATTGGAATAGAATATTGATGTCTAATGACAGTAGTTTGCTCACTCTAGTATCTCATTGGAAGGAGAAGAATTTGACAAATTATTCCATCTAAGGCCTTCCATAAACCTGATGTATTTAGATAAAACAATGTTGTAGAGAGCTTGAGAATGCCTCATTTTGTAGAATATGATTCGCTCTACCACTTCGTGTGATGTGAGCAAATTTTATATCCGAGTTATAGGCGCTGATAAATTAAAAGTTTGATTTTCCGAACTTTTCTTCTATCTAGCACTTCAGCAACTTTCGAAGGGTATTGATATCACTAGTAGACATTGCCATCGTATATATTACTTGTTGGTAAGAAAATACTTTATGTTCAAACTTATCAATATTGTAACACATAATTTTCAAAGATGAAACAACACAAAATAAAATAATTTCATGTTTCATTTATTTTTCTGCAATCGTTTCACAAATGATCACACCAATGATTCAAGAGGGCTGAGGTAAATAGCTAACTTTGATTTTAAAATAAAGATAATAATGCTAATTTAGTTTTAAAATTAAAGACAAAAGTAGTGCGTCTAGTTCTGCTTTCGATCTGACCGAAACCAAAAAAAGGCCGATCTTGTTCAGGAATAATTTTAAAGTAAAATTTTATAACTTGTGAATAGTTGTTTGGTTTAGGTCGAATCCCATATCTCCGTGGTTACAAACTACATGTGAATTTATCACATTCTTAGTTTGTTTAAAAACGAATTTCTAAGTCTGAAAGTTATTTCTAGTCGTATCGAGATAGTCACAAATATCTAAAACCTATGATAGATATAAATTAAAACTTAAGCGAAACTTACAATGATGGAAAAAGAAATTCATGCTGTGAGGGCATCCATACACCGCGAATAAATCGATCAATAGATGACATAATTGATTCACCACAACCTAAATCATATAACTTGAATAATATTTCTACTATTTATTTTTACCTCTAATAGCTCCAATGAGAACAACAATAATATAACTATCAGGATACAAAATTAAAGTTAAACGAACACCATCGTAAATTTTTTTTGTTCGTTGAATTTCTTTTCCAACACCAATAACAAGACGAATAGGTATGAATCGTAATAGATAATTAATAAAATCAAATGGGAAATAAAATACAGAATACCAGCAGACTGTAGCTAATAGAAGATGTTGATGATGAATAAAATCTTTTAATGGACTTTCACCAAGTAAAAAATTCGTTATGATCGAACCGGAAAAACAGAGTAACATTGTTGATACCCAACATGATAATGGGTGACGACGTGTAAAATTTTGTGTGGCTAAATATGAAAAAAATTAACGATTATATCAATATAGAAAAAAAAAGGCAGTGCGAACTATTGTTTTTTTGCTATAGGATATGATAGACAGATGTATTTGTCACAGCATGTGATAACAAATGGACAGTAGAGTATAAATTGTCTGTCATTTGCTTCGCATTTACGCACTGTGATATATGATAATTAAAATGTTCTATTCGACATGATACATGTCTTGTATCTCATAAACTGAAAGAGACATAACGAAAATTGTCTTGCAGATAGCTTTGTACTTGTAATTTCATATTTTTTTGTATTGATACGTAGCAAACTTTGAAACTCTATTAGAGTCTGGCTTTGATTACATAGATACCTCTATTACGAAAAAAAGTATATTGTTATACAATGAAGTTTCACAATAAATTCTGTAATTTATTAGAATTTTGTCATAAGTTTATCATTATGGTAATTTTGATTTTAATTAAATCAGATAATTCCAATGATTATAAAAATAACATAGGACATAAATCGAATTACTTAGTGAATTTCAAAAGCAAGCTATCTACGTCTCTACTCCAATATTATGAAGACTAGCATTCATGAATAGAAATTTCTCAAGAATAAATTATAGGCTGAATAATTGTCATCGAATCAGATAAAATACTATTTATAGTTTACATTAGTAATTTTAGTCTATTATTAACAGTGTTTGACTTTAGTAATACTTTATGCTACTGAGTGCAAGGAACACTTCAATCAGCTTTTATATATTAGTGAGGAATATTGTTGCACTGAGGAGATGCCTCGTTTTTGTATTTATTGTCTGGATGAAAATTAAAAGAAATATGTTTGCATCAGTAAACTTTCCTGGTTGTTATCAACTGTAAGACGAATAAATCTTGTAGAAAGAAGTCTAAACGTGTGCAGCTAATGCGAAGAAATTCTTTGGATCGAGTAGAACTTGACGGTCGATTTCTAGGTCTGAAATATAATATATACATATATGTATATATATTTCTACATTTAGAACTCACATGATAGATTCCGAAGTTAGAAAACACTGTTAACTTTTGAAAAATGCATAACAGATTTCTTTTTGGATGCATTCAGATGGTGAAAAAATGAGATTATATATTGAAAATGTAATATAGATTAATAATAATTGACAAGTTTTTGACATATTAAGGTTCCTATCTTCAATATGTAGATCTTTTTATATCGTAAACAGAATCGAGTGTTTCCATTTACAGCTATCAATGTCATCGATACAGCAACCTATTAGCTCAATGTTTTTTTTTATATCAGACAAGCTCCAACGAAAAAAGATCAATTATTCTCTACTGATCGCTATCTTTAGCTTTGATCAGAGTATTAGTCTTATAAAGAACTTCTGTATATAATGCGTACTAACTATTGAAAAACTCTATTGTATCCCATAATATAATAAGTTAACTGGCGGACGGATGATCTGCAACAAAATAGTGGCAACACTAAATGTCTAAGTTTTACTATAAAATATATTCAACATCAAACTATATTTACTAACAGAAAATTAAGAATTCAAACCTGTTTGATATTGTTGTATTTCATCTCGTACTTGTAAAGCAGTTAGTAAATAATGACACATATCAAATAATGGATATATTCGTACATATGATAACTGTGATCCAATATAGATAAATAATTCTTTATTCATTTTTTTGTTTTTTTTTTTCTTGATTATATACGTCACCGACTCATTCAATTCAAAAAAAAAAGAAAACGAAAAAGCAAAAATCTAAAAGAAAAAATAAAATTAAAATTCACATATCAATATTTTTTCATCTTTGAATGTTTTAGCTTCATGTAAAATTTGCGTTTCTTTCTCTGAACGTTTTAATACAATCATACTTTCACCTTGAGCATGAATATCATTCATGATATTTAATATACCTTGACAACAAATAACACCATATCCAATTAAATTATTTCGTTTATTTAATATATCTATTCCACGATTTATTGCATAATGAAACCATGCATTTGATAATGAATATGTTTTTATATGTTTATCATTGACATCTTTTGGTGTATTATGTTGACGATCATAACCAGGCCAAGGTATATTCCATTCACCAAGATTTAAAGCAATAATAATAAAAAGAAAACGTCGTTTTGAATTAAATAATTCTATTTTATTATATTGTTCATAAACTTCTGGCATCCAACTATCAGCACATATTAGTACAGCAATATCAATATTTGTATTTGGAATTGAATAGATCGATGGTTGTTTTTGATAATTATCAATAAAACTGATTTCATCATATACAGGATATTGTTTACCAGACTGAAGACAAATTGAACCATGATTTGGTTCAAATACATATGACATATTATAAAAATTTTTTTTATTTAAATTCTCATACATAAATGTAGAACCAGCAACAATAGTACAGTTTGTTTCAAATGCCAATTCACTAAATAATTTTATATAAATATTATATGTTTGATCAGCAAATAGACTAAACCAAGAACGTTTTATTAGACCTAACCATGACAATTTGGAATGATAATTTTTATAGATTTCTTTAACAAATAAACGAATATGCGTTATTAATGTATAACATATAAATAATATATGACGATTTATTTTTGTAGTTTGATAATTAAAAAAAAAGTTACGTAAATATTGTGGCAGTGGAACACACATTAAATAAAGCCATGTGCCTGTACATTCTGGAAAAATAACAAGTGTTGGATGCTGTGCACGTATTTCATCAAATAGGATATTATTTATAAGTGATGAAGACTTTATACTTAGACGAATACGTTCTAGGAAATATTGTTTTAGGATTGAATAAGATTGGTAATGATATTGAGTTAAATAAGTTTGCAGACATATAATTTGTAATGGTTGTTGTTCTTCCATTTCATTAAAAGGATATTCATTAAGCAAAATGAACAAACAATTTTGTCTATTCTGTCCTTGTATTAGAAAGAAGAAGGTGATATCTATTGGTTATTGACGTCGTTTATTGCTGTGTCTCACTCGCTAACCTCATTATCTTTTTCTTATCTGTTATGAAGAAAAGAAAGATTTTTCTCTCTAACTGATATCATTTTTGGCTTGATAATAACAGAAAACCACAAAAAAAGAATACGATAATAAATATCGAGAGAGAGAGAGAGAGAGAGAGAGAAGAAAAGAGAATTACTATAGCTTTGGTAAATATAATAACGAGAGAGGAAGTGATAAGAAATATTGACATAGAATAAATGGATATATTCACCGGATGCATTTAGATGAGCAAATAACAAGTTTAAAGAAATTTTCTTATTCATAAATGATGTCAGATGTAAAGTATTACTTACAAATGAAATAATATGATACTATAAAGATGATAATTATCAGTTAATGAAATTTATTGATATATTTTGTCAATAAATCTGATTGACAATAAAAACAAGACTTATTTAGCGTATTTAAAAATGTTTCTTTTTGTTGTCATATTATAAAATCGATAATTGTAGATAATATTAAAGAAATCTTTTTGATTACTCAATCGAATTGAAATATTTACTTTTAATAATAAAACACTAACGTTTATTAGAGATGATAAAGAATAATCTAATTGAATTGTATGATGATCCATACTTCTGAAAGATTTTGATCTCACTTTCGTCAAGCTTATTAATAATTCAGAAACATATCAATCAGTAGTTTTCAGTCTAATAAGATTCATTTTAAAAAAAATTAAAACTCAGCAGTTTCAAATGATACGGATTCATTCTCGATACTTAGATACTAACTAATTTATGTTCAACTTCGTGAAATTCCATTCATTGGTACAGATTTTATTCTAATCGAATATAATATCTATACTAAGTAAATTAACAGAGATTAACTTTATTCAGAATTCTAGCGTATTATCATTAAACTACAAATACTTCATATAATTAATAAGCATCTTGATCATAATTTATGTTTAATTTATTCACAAGTAAAACACTGCATATTTTATCAGTAAATGAAAAAAGAAAATCTATCATTCATACAAAACGATTATTCGACTTACAGAGGAATCTACTAATAACTATATAAAATTACTCAGCTGTGACTACTAGTAGTTATAGTAAAATTGATTATGATCAAGCATAGCTTGAGTCGAGAAAAAAAACAACGAGCTTCGCAATTTCTTCAAATACTTCAAGAGACTTTAACATCAAAGTCTTCGCTGTAGAAATCGTCGGATTGAAAACTTTCCGGTTTGGAATTAATTCAACAAGTTATACTCTCTTGTCTTCCTCTCGTTTTGAACAAATGATAAATTAAGTATTCACTGACATCAGTTTTTCTGTGTAAACAATTAGTGCTACTATACTAATCTGTATTGATTCCAATTCTATGACAATAAAACAATATCATCTTATTTCAAATAATTAATAATGTGAATAGGAGAAGAGTTTGATAATTGAATTGATATTTATCAAACATTATTGTTGTGTTTTGAAAGTTTGGTCACCATTTCGATTTGTTAATTGTGCAAAACTATTCGCTTTGTACGTAATTGAATAGATGATATGATCCATGCCAAGATGTGTACAAACATCTTTGAATGGCTAATGAAAATGACAGCTATCGATCAAGGTAAAATAGCACGTTTAGAAGTGATTAGCGAATAGAAAAGATCGTTAAGAAAATTTTGTCCTTGATAATAAAGCATGATTTTTCGACTTATACCAATTATTCAGATAATTCAAACTGCTTCCATCATTCTTAGAATAATGTCTACTATCAAATTAGATTATCAACTTTTTTATGAAATATTGTATGGGTCAATTTCCATATAGAAGAGGTAAAATAGAAAAAAATTTCAAACGATTCTCCAGCTAAAATCATAGAACAGTTTCATTACAAGATTTATATAGTACGATAAAAATTTATCTATACTAAATAATGAACTAAGACTACGTAAAAATTTAACATTGATTTTTTTTTTATGATAAATAAACAACATAAATCAAGTCTATTTGATAGCGATTAGTAAATTGAAATTTGGACAAGGATAGACGAGTCAGTTCGAATGACATTTGCGGTGGTGGGTGTGGATCTTATTTTTATCCGTATCCACACTCCACACACACAGTCATATCCACTTAGAAAAAAGATGCTGATTTTAAGAGAGAGAGATATGACGAAATTCATATCGAGAATTATTTATACTGCTAAGATTTTCTTATTGAAAATTTATTTGTTAACAGTTGTATAAAGGAATGAGCACTTGTATCCATTCCCTCGCTATTTTTGTAACTATTTCTTTGTTGTGAGCTTCTCTAGAAAATAATAACAAAAATCATCTTAAATAATTACTTTATTAACGAATACTATCTATCATTAAAAAGTACTCAGGTACACACTTATGTTTTAGTGCATCAGAAACATTGTTTAATCTATAACTTCTTAATGGTTCAGTGTTAAAAAGTGGAGTAGTTATCATTAATGTATATACTTCTCGTCAACTTATTTTTGTATCGCTAATGATGTATGATATCTAAACTTTTCAATGTTAGCAAAAGAAAGTGCTACTGTTTCTAGATTTTGATTATAAAAAATTGATTTTTGTTGGAAATAAGCATGATTTTTGAAATCAGCATGCAAAAATGAATTGGAAACTCTACATTTCATCGCAAAATATCTCTTATTAAAAATGTCACTCTACTTCTCCTCAATTTTTTATTCATAAAACTTTAGACTTTGTCAACCCACGAATAATATTTGATTAGAAATCTTTTTCGGCATGCTGATTCCAAAAATGATGCTGGTTTTCAACTAAAACCAATTTTTGTTAATCCAAATCTTTGAAAACGAGTCGTTTTCTTGGAGAGTACTTCACGTGGAAGTGATCCAATACCTAAATTTGGTTAACACTGACGAAGTTTCACGTCTGATTGTGTTATCCCATATCGTCACACCATTCACAACCAAAAAAATAATTACACAACAGGAAAACTAACGGAGGGAGTTATAAACCATGGAAACGGTTTTATATCCTTTGATTTTTAAATGTTTTTCATAGTTATTCAATTCTGACAGTATATGACTCCAGATCAAAGACTGACGAGACTGTTCCATGCTACTGCGCACATCTCACAGAACATTGTGCAGAGTATGCTTTTGTCATCTCAATGTTCGAGAGATTCTGCAAGATGATGAAAAAGGCTAATTAGTCTTTACGAGACTTATTAGTAGAGCTAGACAAGATAAAGGCATGAGCAAAGACTCAGAACAGTCCCGTCAGTCTCTGTTCTATATTTCTCAAAAGACGCGAAAAGAAACAAAAACAACACGTACCAGATGATTTGAATGTTTTGTTGTTTTTTAAGACATTTTTTTGTGATAAATATACTATTATTGATTGATTTAAATAATTTAATCATTTACTATCTACCATAGACATTCATAATGATTAATATTATTCGATGAATCTTGAACAAATAAACAATCAGTTTGCCAGAGAAGTATGAAAAAGAAGATGAATGTGATCAATAATACGATTGACCCAATTACTTGACTATAATGAAGAAATTTTGAACAATCCATCATTGAAATATTTTGCTAAACATAGATAAATGAACGATATTTGATACATATTAAGCGCCTAAATATCGATTTGCTTATAAAAATCGATCGTCAAAATCGTTAAATTTTGTTTG